GATGAGAGAGGAAGGAGGTTTAGATCAGAGTGGTTGCAGTGTAGGTGATAAAAATGGACAGATTCTGGATCTATGTTGAAGGCAGAGCCAATATAATGTCCTGACACTGAATAAGGAATGAGTGAGGCAGAAAGAAATCCAAAGCGACCCCTCAAAGATTTTTATGTGGAAACTAAAAGATTGAAGTTGTCATTAATTAAGATGCAGAAGACTGAAAGCAAAGCAGGTTTTAGAGCAGGAGGAATGTTTGGGGCATACCAAATTTAAAATGTCTATTAGACATCCAAGAAGAGATATTTTGCCCTCATTTGGATACACAAGTATACAGTTCAGGGGAGAGGTCTAGGCTGGGCATAAAAATGTGTAAGTCGCAGCATATAGATAGCAGTCTAATCCTACATGGAACTGGAAAATCGAGGGGGGGGAAGTGAGTATGGAAAGACAAGAGGTCCAAGGACTGAACCCTGGGGTGACTGGAGGCAACTCAGAGGTCTGGAAACCGAGAGGGAGGAAAAAGCATTTCCAGGGGGGTGCTGATAAGAGATCCAGTAAGATAAGGGTGAAAACTGACCACAGGATTCAGAAGATAGCACTTCCTTATATTGGCTTTTTGGTAATTGGTTTAGGAGAGAAATGAAGAAAGTGAGGTGTGGGCCTGGCCAGCGTGGCTCAGTGGTTGAGCATCCACCTAGGATCCAGGAGATGGAGGTTCGATTCCCGGTCAGGACACATGCCCGGGTTGTGGGCTCCATCCCCAGCTGGGGGCGTGCAGGAGGCAGCCGATCAATGACTCTCTCATCATTGATGTTTCTCTCTCTCTCTGTCCCTCTCCCTTCCTCTCTCTGAGATCAATAAAGATATATTTAAAAAGAAAAAGGAAAGAAAAAAAGTGAGGTGTGGGTTTTTTGGTGTTTTTTTAAAAAAAATAGAAAAGTTCTTTTAACAAGTTTTACTGTTACAGGAATCAGAGCAATGGAACAGCATCTGAAAGGAGAATTTGAGGTCAAAACAGGGTTTTAAAAAAACAGTAAGAGGTGAAAACCCAGCGTGTTTATATGCTAATGAGAACAAGCCAGCGGAGAGAAAACGGATGAAGGAATTGAATTAGAAATGAAGGCGAATTGCAGAAGCAACGCCCCCAACCAGGCGGGAGGGGATAGGATGGAATGCTAAAGGTGGTCAAATTGGGGAGCCTGCAATGAAACTGAGACTAAAGCGAAGGATGAGGGAGCAGAAGGGGACGGACGAGGTGGTGGGTGCTGGTGGAAGCTCTTCTGGTTGCCTCGGCTGTCTCAGAACAGGCAGCAAGGCCTTCAGGCGAGTGTAAGGATGTCCCGTGGTAGGCGGCGGGAACGGCGCTGGGTGTGAGTCCGGCCGGGTCAGACCTGACCTGGGCTCAGCAACCTTGGTGCTCGGGTTCTGGCGAGGAAAGAATTCAGACCCAAGACTCGGACTATAAGAGAACATTTATGTGGCAAATCGCAGAGGTAGAAGAAGCAATTCCTAGGAGAAATGGGCTTAGGAAATAAGTTATAAAGGCAAAGAAAGGGCCCTTGGAGCTTGGGAGTGAGGAAGCTAACGCTAACCTGCCTGGGTGGGGAAGGGGGGAAGGAAGGGAAAGGCACAGGGTGCTCCCAAAAAGGAGAGCGCCGGGCCCACCCTCCTAAAGGTTTTAAGGGAGGAGATTTCAGGGGAAGTCCCCAGCGGGGAGATCTTAATAGAAAATTCTGCAGCTTTCCAGGTGTGTCCTTTCAGGGCTATGGTCTCCACTTATTGCTTGTTNAGTGGTTGAGCATCCGCCTAGGATCCAGGAGATGGAGGTTCGATTCCCGGTCAGGACACATGCCCGGGTTGTGGGCTCCATCCCCAGCTGGGGGCGTGCAGGAGGCAGCCGATCAATGACTCTCTCATCATTGATGTTTCTCTCTCTCTCTGTCCCTCTCCCTTCCTCTCTCTGAGATCAATAAAGATATATTTAAAAAGAAAAAGGAAAGAAAAAAAGTGAGGTGTGGGTTTTTTGGTGTTTTTTTAAAAAAAATAGAAAAGTTCTTTTAACAAGTTTTACTGTTACAGGAATCAGAGCAATGGAACAGCATCTGAAAGGAGAATTTGAGGTCAAAACAGGGTTTTAAAAAAACAGTAAGAGGTGAAAACCCAGCGTGTTTATATGCTAATGAGAACAAGCCAGCGGAGAGAAAACGGATGAAGGAATTGAATTAGAAATGAAGGCGAATTGCAGAAGCAACGCCCCCAACCAGGCGGGAGGGGATAGGATGGAATGCTAAAGGTGGTCAAATTGGGGAGCCTGCAATGAAACTGAGACTAAAGCGAAGGATGAGGGAGCAGAAGGGGACGGACGAGGTGGTGGGTGCTGGTGGAAGCTCTTCTGGTTGCCTCGGCTGTCTCAGAACAGGCAGCAAGGCCTTCAGGCGAGTGTAAGGATGTCCCGTGGTAGGCGGCGGGAACGGCGCTGGGTGTGAGTCCGGCCGGGTCAGACCTGACCTGGGCTCAGCAACCTTGGTGCTCGGGTTCTGGCGAGGAAAGAATTCAGACCCAAGACTCGGACTATAAGAGAACATTTATGTGGCAAATCGCAGAGGTAGAAGAAGCAATTCCTAGGAGAAATGGGCTTAGGAAATAAGTTATAAAGGCAAAGAAAGGGCCCTTGGAGCTTGGGAGTGAGGAAGCTAACGCTAACCTGCCTGGGTGGGGAAGGGGGGAAGGAAGGGAAAGGCACAGGGTGCTCCCAAAAAGGAGAGCGCCGGGCCCACCCTCCTAAAGGTTTTAAGGGAGGAGATTTCAGGGGAAGTCCCCAGCGGGGAGATCTTAATAGAAAATTCTGCAGCTTTCCAGGTGTGTCCTTTCAGGGCTATGGTCTCCACTTATTGCTTGTTCAGAGCCAGGGCNTGGAGCCAGGGCAGGGGATTATTATCCAATGCAGCTGGTCCTGAGGGCAGATGTGGCTGGTTTTATTGCTTTCCTGGGCCTGGAGCTGAAATGCAACTGGGACCTAGATGTTATCTCTATGGAGGAAAGGTCCAGGTCCAAACCTCGGGACCAGTGATATGCTAGGGAGGAAAGGTCACCCTGGGGACAATGTCCCACCCTACAACTGTCCTTTGCTAGGCACCTGGGGCTTTCCACCCTGATAACTTTCTGTACCTGGCCCTTCGTCCTTGCTCTGCTCAGGTCTGACTGCCCACCACGGTGTCACAGGTTATAGCAGAGAACTAGGAAAGGTGGCCGGCTGAGCAGAGCAACACAGCTGCCACCAGACCCCGCCCCAACCCAGGCCCCAGCCCTGGAGGAGCTGGAGCTGCATTAAGGTGACATCACTCAACGAGGACATGAAAAGGAAAAGACAAAGCTGTTCATGAGCTACATGCCACTTCTTCCAGGCCTAGATCCAACCCACAAGCCGAGAGCAGGGTCCCGGGCCTCCCAAACCACGGCCTTGGCGCCGCAACTGCAAAACGACCATGGCTTTGAGTCACATGTCGACCCTGAGCCACACATGCAGCTTTGGCCAAATACAAACAGAAGAAGACACCGGTGCCTTAGAAAAGTTCTCATACACTCATCTGAGGAGACCTGAGCCCCTCTCAACGCACGTCTGCCAAAGGGACGAGGGCTCTTTCTGCCACTCAAGGGACTCACCTCCCTCTGCTTGGCTCCGGCGCCTCAGTATTGTCGAAGAGTCACTCAGGCTCAGCAAGCGGATCACCCGGGGCTGGTACACCTCGTCCCCGCGTCCCCTACCTCAGGTCACTGGAGGAAGGCACCCTGCGCCCAGGCCCTGGAGGTGAGCACCCCCCTTCCCGCCCGGCCTGCAGGGGGCATGCGGGGCACTGGCACCTGCGCGGCCACAGCTCCTGCGGGAGGGGTTTGGGTGCCAGCCCAGCACCCAGCCGAGGGGTAGCGGGCAGGCTCTCTGTGTCTTCAAACGCAAGTTCTCTCCTCGGGTACTGGGCTTCGCTTAGGCGCATTAACACACCTGAGCCAGTCACCAGTTACAATCCTTCGCTGCGTATGAACTGAGACCAGGGCGCGCTGTGTGTCATTACAGACACGTCCTGGGGAGAAACGGCCAGAACTATCCACGGCGCTGGTCACACGGGGACCAAGGAGAGCACAGAGGAGAAAAGCTCCCGGTTTACACTGAATGCAAAAGGAGTTTGGATCTACAGTGCGGGTAAAGAATGAGACCAGGAGAAACCAGGGGACGGCTCTTCAGCTGGACTCAGCGCGGCCGGGGAGCCGGCGCCTGTGACAGCAGCCCCAGCGCTTTCCATCCTCGCAGACCGGGGAATGGCACAGGAGCAGTCATGGTCGCCCAAGTGCAGGCCCAGGAATGTCAGCCTGCTTTGCACAGCGTCTTCATTTACACCATTTCCTTTTCGAACAGTTGTTAGTGTCTTTTATCAAAATCACGTGAAGTTTTCTTTCCAATGTACTAGATTCAAATTGTAGAAAAATTCCGAGCATCTCCAAGCCGAAACCGGAGCGTATATTTGATATTCCTAAGCAGTAGGTCACATTGGCCCAGGCCCTTCAGCTGTTAGTCCCGATTCAAAAGGAAGCTACTCAGTCAACATGAAGTGAGGTTTATACTGGCGACAGATTTTTAAAAATGTGTTTAATTCTCTATTTCTGGAAAAAATGTAAGAGCTTCGTTGAGGTATAACTGACATGTAATCAGTCAAATATTTAAAGTGTATAATTTTATATATTGTTAGAGATGTGCACACCCATGAAACCATCCCTACTACCATGACAGTGAACATACCCAGCACTCCCCGAAATCTCCTGTGCCCCTTTGTCATATCCTCCTTCTGCCCTTTTTGGTTCCACCTTACCCCTCAGGCAACCACTGACACCATAGATCACTTTGTATTTTCTAGAATTATATATAAATAGAATCAGACAGTGTTCACTCTTTACTGTCTGGCTTCTGCCGCTCCCCGTAAGTGTTCTGAGACTCACGCACGTTCATGCATACAGCAAGTGTTCATTTCTTTTATTGATGAGCAGTATTTCATCATATGGATGCGCCAGTTTGTTTATCTATTTGCCTACTGATGGATATTTTGGTTATTTCCAGTTTGGGGCTATTACAAATAGAGCTGCTATGAATATTCTTTTAAAATAACAATAATAGAAAATATGAACAAAATATCACCTATGAAAGTGGGAGACAGCAAAGGTCCTATGAAAATATGATAGGACTGCTGAGCAGAAGCAGCGTTGCTTGAAGTAATGAATTTAGAGTAAAACCAATCAGCATAGTTTTGTGTATTTTTTCAGCCATCTTTCAGCCACAGAGAAGGCAGAAAATTACATTTAACCAAAATTAGTTTCGTTCTGAAAATACTACAAAGCAAAAGAGGGGCAAGATATTTTAGAATCCATGCAAGAGAGTCTCTCTTCCCCACAGGCTTCCACAGAGGCAGGAGAACCTGAGCTTCCATCCCCACTCGGCAGCAACAAGGCAGGGTCCTCCTTTCCTCCACCGAAGTAGTGTCAGAGAAAACCTGCAAAACGCGAGATTTACATACGATCCCGAGTCTCATTACACAATGCTCAAAATGTTATAGTTTCAATTTTTTTTATAAAAGGACTCAACATACCAAGAACCAGGAAGACCTCAACTTGATTGAGAAAAGATGGTCGACAGATACCAACACCAAGAGGACACAGGTGTCTAACAAGGATTGTTTTTTCTTTTGTTTCGTTTTGAATTCTCACCTGAGGATGTTTTTTCCATTGCTTTTCAGAGATGCTGGAAGGGGGAGAGAGAGAGGGAGAAACATTGGTCTGAGGGAGACACACCAATCGGTTGCACACCCTGCCTGGGGCCAAGGATTGAGCCTGCAACCAAGGTACGTGCCCTTGGCTGGAATCGAACCCGGGACCCTTGCAGTCCACAGGCTGATGCTCTAAACACTGAGCAGAACTGGCTATGGCCTAACAAGGATTTTTAAGCGGCCGTTGTAAAAGCTCAGTGTTGAGCTGAATTAGGACCTACTGCTGCTGCTTTCGCCTAAGTAGGGGACCAGAACCAAGTGAGAGCTTTCACACTGGGGAAAGAGCGACTGTCCACACAGGGTTTGGCTCTGTTTCTTTACTTTGCTTTTGTGATAATAGATTGAGAAAGAACTAGTGTTTTTCACTCACAAGCTCTTTTTACAGATACCTGTGCAGGCTAAATTGGCACCCAGAGCAATAAGCTGCCTTAGTCTGAAGGGCTCTGATGGACTTGGAGTGAAAAAACAAAACAGGCATCCTACGTAGGAATGTTCTGGAAAAAAAGGTAAAGTATCTTTGGCCTAATCCAATCTAAACTTTCTCCTGAATCATTAGCCTGTGAAACAGCTATGATTAAATATTGAGTTTCTTTAATCTGCTTCCCCACCTGAAGAATGGTCCCTTTTCCCTCGGAGTAAAATAGCAGCACCTGGCTGTGCTCTCCCTGGGTCCTGCGGTCTGCCTGGCTCTGGGCTATTGGCTTCTTTCTCAGAGCCTCTTGGCGAACCCCTTTCCCGGCTCTTGCTACCCAAACCTGACCTTTCCTGCAGTCCTGTCTGGCACTGCCTTCTGCTTGGGGCATGCCTGCCATCAACCGTGGGTTTCCTTTCTGCCTGCCTTTTCCGTTGGAATGGGCAGAGCATACACATCACTTCGAAATTCTGTATGCTGCCTTATTTTCTATCCATGTCTACTGTGATAAACCTCAGCGTTGTTTACCAATATTTCCAGTTCTCTCGCCTGACACACAATAGAATTATACCTCTCTGTCCATGACTCATTTCAGTCAGTAAAATGTGAATGAAAATTATGTGCGTCACCTCTAGGTGGCAGCATTTAATAGCAGGTACCCAATTCTCAGGTTTCCTGCTTCCCTGGCTGCCGGGAACCAGGGCTGCGGAAAAGTCAAGCCACCATCACCTTGGCCCTGAGTGAGGGCCCATGGAACAGAGGGCCCACCAACCTCAATGCACAAGCAGCAAAAGCAAGAAATAAGCCTTTGTCTGACATGCACAATGCGGCTAGAAGTGCCCCGTGTCGGCATGAGGAAACTTCCAGGGATAACACACATGATCGTGGTGGTGGTTCATACAGACAGGGGTGAACAAAAGTAGGTTCACAGTTGTGAGTATGCGAAACATAGAGTTTATTCTTGTATTGCTATTTATTAATTATTGTATTATTTTCCATTCGAACAGCTGTAAACCTACATTTGCCCACGTCTATATATAAAACCTTCTGGCAAAGACTGCAGTTAACATAAAACGTGGAACTATTTTTGTACGGGATTAAAGGTCCTATAAA